CTGGTATGGCTCCCCAGGGAGTTGGAAAAGTGGGCTAGCCCACCAGCCATCCTCTCTTCACGCTCTGGGTGGGAGGTGCAGAGGGCAGGCCTGCTTGAGCCAGCTGGCTGCTCCCTACATGCAAGCCCAGCAAGTCGGTCCAAACTGCCTAGCTTCCGTTCTCTGTGGCTGCGCGTTCCCTGGTGCTGCTCCTGGTGGAAGGAAAGGCAGCTGGCACAAACAACCCCTCCATCCTGCTCTTGGCACACTGTTGCCAAAATTCAGCTTGAAGGAATAAAAGGCAAACAGAAATCTCAGCTCCTGCTGGAGAAGCTGTTTAAGCTAAAAGAAACCGAAGGGAGTGAGTGGCTAACTGCTCTAATTTACTCACCCATTCCTGCTGTCAAGCTGCAGGAAAGATTACCCCTAGAAAAAAGGAAAAGCTCTTCAAGCCATCTGTCAACTCATTTCTGAAAAGTCAGCTTCCACAATTGGGGATTCTAAAAAAGAGGGGTGTCGTGAACACTGGATTTGGTGACATTTTTTGCTGTAACTTGGATGCTGGCAGAGTGGGGTGGTACTAGGTGTGCCTGAGACATCCTTGGACTCAATTTACATCCAGCTGGAATGGGCGCTGTTTACCTTATTCACGCCACGGACCCCCTTGCCAGGCTGGTGAAGCCTATAGACCCCTTCTAAGAGCAATCCTTCTAACGTGAGAAATAAAATACAGGAGATTGTAAAGGAAACCAATTACGCTAAAATGTAGTTATCAAAATAATAAAAAAATTTAAATATTGTAACAATATATTCTTTATTAACACATTAAACGAGATCTAGTGGTAGTTCTGAAAAGTACCTTAATTTCAAAGTTGGGATGAGCATACACGATATTTCAAGATATCTGTAGAGTGATATGAAAGTAAATGACTTCCTTTGATGACAATGTCACAGGTGGTTAATTGCCTACGTTCATAACTGAGGGGAACGCTAACTTTCTGTTAGAGGCTAAGAATAATAAAAATGCAATGTTTTTCCCATCCATGATTACAGATCCCCCTGAATTCTATCTGTGGACCTGTCCGCGGACCCATCTGTGGAACTCAGGACAGACCCCAAATTAAGAACACCCTTCTTTTCCTGGCCTTTGGGAAAGAGTACGGCACTGTGAGGCAAAGGGGCTGTATCCCCATTGTAGCTCCACTACTAGGCAGTGGGAGAATCATCTTTTTAGGTCCTCAGTCCCTCTGTCTTGCTCGCAAGTCTTTGCCCAGGCAGATCTCTTTGCCTGGAATACCCTTTCCATGCCCTCAGCACCTGGCTAGTCCTCATTGGCTCTTTAAGATGCAGTCGATGGCATCTCCTTGGGAAGGCCTTTCTTGCTCTCCAAAGGCTAGCATGGGGTTGGGAGTGTCTTCTGTGGTCCCAAAGCACCCTGTGCCTACTCCTATTACTAATCTTCTCAATTGTGATTTAATGACTTGCTTACTCTGTCTGTCCCCACCCCGTGCACAAGACTGTGAGTTCCTTTGAGACAGCAATAATGTCTCATTCATCACTGCACTCCTAGTGTCCAGCACAGGGCTTGGCACATAGAAGACCACTGATATACAAATGAATGGATGGATAGAAGCCACACCCAGCCTCTTTCTCTCTCATTGTAAAAATACTGCTTATTTCACACCAGTGGTTCTCAGCCCTGGTTAAAACGAGAATCACTTTGAGAGGTTTTGAAAAATACTGAGACCTAAGCCCCAGCCCCAGGAATTCAGATTTCAGTTGTCTGGAGTGGGGCCCTGGCTTTTGTTTTTTTTTAAAACCTCTCCAGGAGCAGCCAAGGTTGAGAACCCACAGTACCATAAGAACAGTGACTGAGGTTAGATTACAATGCTAGAACTTCTTTCCTAGACCCAGAAAGATGAAATTAGGTACAGAATTATGAACTCTGCAAGGGGCTAAACACATAAACTGAGTTTCTGACCCTCACAGTCAGGTCACAGTTCTAAATCCAGCAACATCAGTAACAGCTGACCTGCACTCTCAGACTTAGATGGAAAAATCTGGGCTTGACAGTGAAGACTATGAAAAAAACTACATACCCCACAGGTAGGCATACCGAGGCCCCCTACTCCCTCCCCTCATGGCAAGAAACCTTTGAGAAGAAGGCCCAATCCTAGGGAGCAGCACACCTTTTGGGGAGAATTCCCAGCTGGGTGATGCTAGGCAAGTCTTCCTCAAGCTCCTGGATCTTGGTTTCCTTATCTATAAAGTGGAGATCATAATAATCATGCCAACCTCACAGTACTATTGCAGGAACTAACGGAGGTAATGGAGCTGAAATTATTTTGTAAGTTACCAAACATGCTCCCAAGATTAATTCTTTATTACTGTGTTCTACTGATTGAGTTCTTACAGGCGTTAAGAATTTTACGGCTCAGTGGTTAAGAACATGGTTTCTAGAGCCAGACTCTCTGGATTCAAATTATTGCTTTACCTCTTACCAGTTGTGTCATCTTATGCAAATTATGTAACCTTTTTGTGCCTCAATTCGTCATCTGTAAAATGGTGATAATAATGGTACCTATCTCATAGGTACCTTTTAAGGGTTTGGTTGAGCTAATGTATTCAAAGTGCCTAGAACAGTGGCTCTAAAACCTAAGCATGCATCAGAATCACCTGGAGGACTTGTTAAAAGACCGGTTGCTGGGCTCCACCCCCGGGGTTTCTGAGTTAGCAGATCTGGGCTGGGACCTGAAAATCTCCATTTCTAACTGCAGACTGCTTTTATATGGCCTTTCTAGCCATGGTCTTATAACTCTCACCAAATGACTGGGTGGGACTATGCAAAGAAGGTGCCTGTGGCCCACCAAAGGGACTGGACAGCTTGCTAATAATGCAAATAAGGTGCATTTGGCCCTTGTGGGAGTGAGACCATGCAAATAAGGTGTATGGAACCCTAATGAGGGGATTAGTTTTGCTATCCACTAGGCTTAAAAAAGAGTCAATCCCAGAGCAGAGGAGGGACCTCACTACCACCAAGAAGAAGAGCTGGGGGTGGAGCATGTCCTTTGACCTGGGGTCCTTGCACTGAGAACCTCCTAAACCCAGGAGACAGAGAGAGAGAGAGAGCTATAATACCAGATATGGCTCAAAACAGCAAAAAGCAGTGGCAGTAGAACCAGGAAACCAGTGTGAGATGGCACGGTGGGCTTTCTGGCCCCAGAGCAAGGCAGTTACAGTAGGCTTGCCAACCCACGGAGCAAGAGAGCTGAGTGCCTTCCAGCAGGAGGCTTGATGGCAGAATAGGGTGCCTCCAGGCACTTGGTGGTGCTAGGTTTGCTGACCCACGGAGCTAGAGCTGAGCGCCTTTGGGCCCAGGCCTACTGGTGGAGTGGGGTGTCTCTGGGCCCTTACTGGCAGAGTTAAGAGGGCTTTGTAACATTTGCCCACACAGGGCAGTGGCCAGGCCAAGCTGCAGAGGGTCCAAAAGAGGCATGCAGGCAGGCACAGCTGAGAAGAGGCTGTCCTGATGGAAGAACTGTATTCTGAGTGTTCCTGAACCTGAATTGTAACCAGTGACTTCCCTAATAAACCTCATAACTGTGAGTATGGTCTGTAAGTTCTGTGCGGCCATTGCAACAAATTATCAAACCCAGCAGAGTAGAGAGTGCCCTGGGAGGGACAGCTGGTGTCAGAACTGGTAAAAAGGGTAGGAGGGTGGAGAGATGTCTGACCTGTATTTCATAGGAATAAGCCTTGGGCTGTTGATCTGGAGTCTCCTTCACCTTTGTGAAGTTAGAAGCAGTCAGACACTGCCATCATGTGATTTCACTGTTGGTGTCAGTTTTTTACACTAACAAGCTCCAAGTGATGTTGCTGGTCTTGAAACCATACTTTAAATACCACTGACTTAAAACAATGGCTAGCATACAATAAGTACTGAATAACTGTTAGCGATTAATATCTTTTTCTGGGCTCTACTTTCTTGGTCCATGTGCAAAACACTTTACCCACCAGGGCTAGTCAGTACTGCCTTCATGTAGAAGCAATTTTGAAATCTCCTACTGCAGTCATTCTCAAAGACCAGCAGCACAAGCATTACCTGGGAGCTTGTTCAAAATGCAAGTTTTCAGTCCTTATCCCAGACCTACTGAATCAAGAACTGTGGGAGTGGGACCCAATGCCCTGTGTTTTAACAGTCCTGCAGGTGATTCTAATGCACATCAAGTTTAGTAAGTATTGCTCTTCTAGAAAATCACCATCACCATCACAACCCTGATTTCACATGGACATGGCAGCAGGATAGCTTAAGGTCCAGAGTATAGGTTTTGGTTGAACTAGAGTCTAAGATGACTCAGCTTCTTATCACTGTGTGAACTTAAGCAAGTTACAAAACTTCTTTAAGCCTCAGCTTCTTCATCTGTAAAGTGGGCATTTTTATATAACTTACCTTATAGGAACCTTGAGAGAATAAACTGAGATGATGCATACGAAGTACTTGGCACATACATGTTCAAAGAATGTTAGCTGCTGTTATCATTTTTATAATCATCATGACATGTCCTCTCTCAAAATGATTTCAGATAGCTTATAACAAGGACATAAACATGTAGGCACTCAGGATAGCTACAATAATGATTAAAAAAAAAAGAATCAGAATATCACAAACAGAAAGTGGACAGAGTGAAGGTTGAAACTGTCACTGCAACTGTCCTCCAAATTTAGGTCTGAACTTTCTTGTGGGTCAGAGCAAAAAGGGGAAATGCGGAGGTTACATGGTTCTCACTGCTGGCGAAGAGAAAAGAGACTGGCTCTTCAGGGGAGACAACATCATGCCCCCCGCCCCCCAGCTCTGAATTCTAGGAGAACCTGACAACATGGGCCTTTGCATAAAGTCCCTGCATAACCAGAAAGAATCTCTCTTCTCCAGCAGGGCCCTTCATGTATCCATTTCTTTAATTTTCAACAAGAGCCAGGGACAAAAGCCTTAGATCCCAGAAGACGAGAGATGTTACACCTACTTTGGGTGCCGGATGTCTGGAAGAGAGCGATTCAGGGAGATTTTATCACTGATGTAGATGTTAAATCCATTTTCTCGGTACGCCTGGTCCGCTCTATCAGCGTCGGTCATGGGGTAAGGTCTCCCTTGTTCTCCATTTCCTAGAGGCAAAGAGCAAATTCCATGTTGCTGATGTCCTAGCACATATGGGAATACCGTGTACGGGGTGGGGAAAGAAGGAGGAAGAAAGATGAAACATATTACAGTGCAAGATAAAACTTTATACTGGAATATACAGTCTAATTCCAAATTTTGCAGGGTGAATCACTAACATTTATTGAGATGCTGTTGTGTCGGGCAAGGTACAGACTTTGTTCTCATGTAATCACCACAGCAGCTCTGTATGGTGGACATTAGAGCTCCCATTCTGCAGATGAATAAACTGAGACTCGGAAAGGTTATCAAACCGGGTCTGTGGGTTCCAAAGCCCATGCTCTCTCCACTCGGCCAGGAGCTCCAGACAGCCCTGACTGTGGAGTCTGATCACCTGGATAGGAGGTCCGGTTTACCGCAGATGAGCTGGTCAAACTTGGGCAAGTAAACCACCTCATGGAGCTGCAGCTTCTTCCCCTCTGGTACCCACAGCACGTCTGGGAGACTCAAGTAAGAGGTTGTATGTGAAACCTTTTTGTAAATTATGAAACACTACATAAATGTGAGGAAATACTACAATTACTCTCTAAGTAAGGAAAAATTTATATTTCAATCAAAATTGCCACAAATGATAAAAGATGCTTTGGTTTTTTTAAAATCAAGCAAACAAATTAGAATCTGCCTAGCCAAGGACAGGATTGCCTGAAAAGTGTTGCCTTGAGTCATGGACATGGCTGCCTAATATGCTCACCTTCCTCTCTCTGCACAATCCATCTGGGAAAAGAGTCCCTGATGCTCCAGGATATTATTTTCTGGATTCCCAGGGTACATATGGTGAGTGGCAACGTTCATACTAACTCCTGCCATTAGCCAAGGTCTTGAAGAAATGGCAATAAAATCACCTGATTAAAAAATTGCATCTTCAAATATAACTCAGCTATAAAGAGAAATGAAGTTCTCACACATGTTACAAGATGGATGCACCTGGAAAACATTATGCTGAGTGAAATAAGTCAGTCCAAAGGGACAAATATGATATGATTCCACTTACATGAAATATCTACAACAGGCAAATGTAGAGAGAACAAAGTCTATTACAGGTTACCAAGGGCAGGAAGGGGAGGGAAAGGGGAGTCATTGCTTATGGGCCCTGAGCTTTTACGGTGATGGAAAAATCTAGAAACGAATAATGGTGATGGTTGCACAACATGATGAACATAATCAACGTCACTGAATTGCACGCGTAAAAAATGCTGAATTGGCAAGTGTTTCGTCATATATATTTCTACCGCAATAAAAAAAAAATTAAGTCTTCCAGAGCCTGTCGTCTGAGAAACACCCCATTTTCTCTGGAAAGTAAATGTTGACAACATCAGCTCGACAGGACAGTGCAAGCTAAGGGGTGAATCCCTAGGGCTGTGGCTCCCCCAGTTTGGCCAGATGAGGGAGAGGACCACAGCATCTGTAACTTGAAATGCTCCATGACAACACACTGCCGAGTAGTGCCTGATACCGATTCTGGGAGAGTCACAAATGCAGCCAGCAGAAAAAGAACAGAAGGGAAGACCACAGAGGGCAGTACAGGGGAGTGATTCACAGTTTAGGCACCGGGGCTAGGCAGAGCAGAGTTTGAAGCCCAGCCCTGTATTCCCTTGGATTCCCAGTTACATCATCTTGGGTATGCCTTTAGCCTTTCCAAGTCTTGGGTTTTGCCACTTATATTAGTTGAGATCGGAAGGTTCCATGTGATGGTTAAGAAGGTAATGCAGGGCAAGATGCCTGGCACACAGTTAGTGCTCAACAAATGCTGGTTATTATTATTCTTAATAATGTTTCCATTGCTTACTCTTTTCTTGATGGTTAGCCCAATGTTTTAATAATTCTGGTATAACTGTATGGCAAATCAGCTCTTTTCAAATGTATCCTTTCTTAATTTAAGCAGGTCCTTCCCCCTGCATTTTAAGTCACTACCATACAGACAAAACGCATGCCATATCTTTAGACTTTCCTGGACATCAGTTATTAGATCAACTCTATTCAGAGCTTTGTTTTAATCTGATTTGGTCATAACGTAATTTAAAAAAACCAATAGTAGTGGGTGCCTTTAACTGAGATAAAAATGAATAAAATACCAACCGCCTGCACTGCTACAGTGCTTTCCAGTTTTGGAAAGCTACTTTATGTCCATCACTTTACATGGTCACCTTTACATCAACACCCTAGGTTGTCAGAGCAGGAAGCACGAGCCCCACTGACAAATGGAGAAACTGAGCCTCAGGGAGTATGGAACATATCTAATGATGGCTGGTAAGCAGACTCAGAGCTGGTCTCCTGACTCCTTGTCCAGGCTCTTCAGAGAGAATTATCCACATAATTCCTGCACCACGCTCACTGTGACACTTCCCAACTCCCCAGTGAGATGAACTCCTCCAAAGACTAACTGGCCGAAGAAAACTTTAGCTGAAGCCAACTAAACTAATTCAACCTCATGGATGTGGTGCTGGCTCATTAGGCATCAACTATGCCCTCCAGACATGGGTTCAAATCCCATGTCTGCCTCTTTCTCACTGCATGACTATGGGCAGGTTATCCCACCTCTCTGAGGTACAGGTCCCTTCTCTGTCAAATGGGCCATGAAGGTTGATGTGGGGTTTCACTGAGAAAATGAGCCAAGTGTGGAGCGTGGACCTTGCTCCCAGCAGGAATGTAATAAATGTTGGCTCTTTTCACGACTACTGTTCACTTTAGTGGTAAAATATGGCATAAGGGGAGACATTTTCTATTACCCAACAAAGGGGGCAGGGAAAATTCCTATAGGCAGTGGATCTGGTGATGTGAGTGGAGAAAGGGGTCAGCTACCAGGGAAAGATGGAAGTCCTGGGAATCAGGGGAAAGCATGGTGGCAGATGGAGAGGGCATCAAGAGGAGGTCCAGACACCCCCGCTAACCACCAACACAGAACACACACACACGTACAAGCTCCACAGGACATGCCATGGACGGTTCTGCCCTCCGTACCTACGCGCTGAGCATCCCTCCTGATGGCCTCCTTGTTGTGCCAGTCCTTCAGCTTCTGCCCATGGCTCAAGGGAAGTTTCTTCTTCTGCTGATTGTGCGAGCCCTTAAAAAAAAAAAAAAAACAAAGACAAAACGTGAAAAAAAACAAACCAAACCTGTTGCCATCAAGTCGATTCTGACTCACAGCGACCCTACAGGTCAGAGGACAACTGCCCCACAGGGTTTCCAAGGAGTGGCTGGTGGATTTGAACTGCCGACCTTTTGGTTAGCAGCCGTATCTCTTAACCACTGTGCCACAGGGCTCCAGAAAAAAAAAGAGGAAAGGGGAAATAAATCTTAATAACACAGACTTAGAAATGACACTACCTGAGGGAGCCTCTTGTATTAATTGAACGTATTTGCTCATTTATTAACTCAGTGTACTCCATATACCTTGGTTAGTGCTACCACGTGCCAGCTAGGGGCTGTAAAGTCAGAAAGATGACAGGCGCACAGGGCCCACCTTCCTGGAACTCACAACCAGCAGGTGAGAAAAGAGATGGACAGACATCCTTTACCCAAAGGAAAAAGTGGTGAGTACAGTGCTGTCAGCAGAAATATAATGTGAGCCACAAATGCAAGCCACATGTGTAACTTAAAATTTTCTAGTATCCACATTAAAAATATGAAAATAAATAGGTGACGTTAGTTTTAAGAATATATTTAACCCAATATACACTATCTAAAATATCATTTCAACATGTAATCAATATAAAAAATTATTGAGGCTTTTTTTTTTTTTTTGGTAACCAGTCTTGGAAACCAGTGTCACACTTGTGACGGTACATCTCAGTTCGGACTAGCACACGTGGCTAGGGGCAATGTGCTGGACCGTGCTGGACAGGGCAGGGTAAGTGGCCCTTCCATGAGAGGCCCAGAGAAAGTGCTATGAGAGTTCCTTCCACCTGGAGAAGTGGAGAAAGCTTCCTGGAGACGAGTGCAGTGTGGCTGGGCCTCAGACAAGTGGAAATGGACGGCAGGCAGGTTGATCAGCCTGGGCAAAGGATGTTGGTGTGATGGAGAATGAGACTGGCAGAGTGGGTCTTGGTCTGAAGAAAAGGGGCACTAAGCACAAGGTAGAAAGTCAGGTCTTGGTCAAATCTGCAGTCCCAAGGGCCTGGGCCCAAACAGGGCAAACATTTGCCAAATGTACGTTGATTGTACAAGCAAGCAATCGAATGACTGAAAGAGAAAAAGAATATGCAGCAGCCACAAGGGAAGCAGGACACAGGCTAGATCTGAAGGGTTTACTGAGTGTTTAGGAGAGGTGAGCCCTCCTAGTAGGCCCATTAGGAAGTGATTTCCCTAATTAAAGGGGCAGCATTCCAGTGTCTGGGGACATCTGAAGGTGCCTGATGCTTTCCCCTGAACAACCGTCAAATCTGCAGACCTGCCCCCCACCCCCTCCTGCCTTCAGGCCCCAAGCTCAGTTACAGCCTTCCCAAGGTAACACCACCCCATAACGCTGTTTAAACATCTCCTGTGCTCACCTAAATGAAAACTGTTTTTTGGATCACCTTGCTCATTAAAAATTCTGCAGACTTATTGTTGCCACTGTGGCATGCAGAATCCAATAGTACCATCTCCTGTATAATTAACTATGAAGGCCCTGAATGTGCGACATGCTGAAGCATTAGTGCTAACAAGAAACCACCTGAATAAAATCATCCCTGTGCCTGTTTATTAAGTCTCTGGCTGATCCTTGTGTTAGCAGATTTTCCACAACGGCTCAATATCCTTACAACAGCTCTAATGATAATAACAATTCTTTGTATTCTCTTTCCTCCAGACCACTGTGAGTTGCAAGAAGAAAATTCTGAAAGTTGGTGTGCTAGATGTCTAGGTCAGAGAGGGAAAGAAAATAGCAGAGACACCGGCCATGTGCCTACAAACATTTGCCGGGTTCTCAGGAGTCACAGAGGCTGAACTGGAAGGTCCTTAAGGGACCATCTAATCAGTGCAGGGGAGTCCCTGGGTAGTGCGAATGGTTAACATGCTCAATAACAGAAAGACTGGAGGTTTGAGTCCACCCAGAGATGCCTCAGAAGAAAGACCTGGAGAGCTACTTCTAAAAAGTCCACAGCTTTGAACTGGTTCCTTCCGGTTTGACCCCCTGCGGAGAATTTGCATTTCCACCCCAGATGTACTGAATCAGAATCTACATTTTAACACGATCCCCAGGTGATTATAAGAATACATAAGAATCACCTGGGGATCTTGTTAAAATGTAGATTCTGATTCAGTACATCTGGGAGTGGAAAAGCAAATTCTCAGCAGGGAGTCCAACAGGACTGAACTGGTTTGAAGCCCTGAAAAAATTAGCCACTGAAAACTCTATAGAGCACAGTTCTACTCTGACACACGTGGGGTCACCATGAGTTGGAATCAACTCAACAAGCAACTGTTTTTTAATCAGTTTGGGGGTTTCAACTGTGTAGGGCTACAGTTCTGCAGGAGATACTTCAGGTGCTGACTTGAGAAGCGGGAGACTGAGAAAAGGGGCTTGCCTTCCACAACCTTCTTTAACCAGTGTAGCAAAGCATCTGCCTGTTTTATATACTGGGGATCCATGTGGGATTTCATTTGAAAAAAATTCCTCTGCTAAAAAAAAAATAATAATTGAAACTCCGAAACAAAAATACAAGGGAACCAAGTCCTAGGGAGAGTCAGGGACCCATCCAAGATAAAATTCTGCCTTTACAATGTTAGGGTTGAGCAGTCAAGGACTGCTCAGCTCCTCTTTCTCCAGCTCTGCCTCCAAATTCCTTTCACCTGTCTCCTCCCCAAAGATGGGGAATTTCAGTTGATTATTGTAGGAGACTGGTGGGACTGAAGAGGCTCCACAAACTCAGACTGCCTTAATGGCAGGCTCGAATCTAAAGCCATGATTCTCAAAGTGTGGTCCCCAAAACAGCAGCATCGGCACTACCTGCGAACTTGATAGAAATGCATATTCTTGGGAGCCCCAGACCTCCTGAAGCAGAAACTCTGGGTGTGAGCCCTGAGATCTGTGTTTTAACAAGTCCTTCAAGTGATCCTGATACACATAAGTTTGAGGGCTACTGGTTTAGAATGAAGGAGGTGATAATCATTCCTGCTCTGTGCTGGTCAGATCAAATCTGAGCTATTGTATCCGATATGGGGCAACATACTTGAGCAGATATTTATTATCAAAGGTCGCCAAAACCAGAGGCCTATGGTCACCTATCTGGCAGCTTTCTAGGTTTTGTTTTTTTGTTTTAATTGCCAGTGTGAAAAAATAGGGAGACTTCACATTAAAATCATCACGATTTTCAGCTTCTTTTGAAAACCTAAAAGATCTGGCAATATTGGACTGAGTTCTCTCAGTCCCCCAGCTGGCACTGAGTAGGCACTGAGTAACCACTGCCCTATTTGGACATGGCATGTCTCTCCAGTTCGCCGCAGTCCCCACCATTCCGAGGTACCTTTCACCAGGCTCTTATCTCTCATTTGTGCTACCTGCCTGGCCCTGGTGAGTCTGCAACACACTGGCATATAAAGGGATGTATCACGGATGGGGAATATCAGAAACTGTTGTGTGAGGACTAGGAAATGAGAACTCCTAATCCTAGATGGTGGTGCAGTGGTTAAGTGTTTGGCTGTTAACCAAAAGGTCGGCAGTGCGAATCCACCAGCCACTCCCTGGAAACTCTCTGGGGCAATTCTACTCTCTCTTATGGGGTCGCTGAGTCAGAATCGACTCGATGGCAATGTGTTTGTTTTTTTTTTTTTTTTAAATCCTAGATGGGAGCACAGGTGGCACAGTGGTTAAGCGCTCGGCTGCTAACCAAAACGTAGGCAGTTCAAACCCACCTGCTGCTCCTGGGAAACCCTATGGGACAGTTCTACTCTGTCCTATAGGGTCACTATGAGTCAGAATCAACTGGTGGCAACAGGCTGTTTAGTCCAAATGAGGACTAGGAGCCCAGGGGGAACACAGGAAGAGTGATCTTGTTCTCCGAGGTCCTGAGGCTGGAGTGAGTGCCAGTGACAGAAGTTATGGAATGATTAAGGGAGAAGAAATTCCAAAAGCTGAATTGGTTTTAGGATGAAACAGGATGACTAGGAAGATAGTAATTTGCCTGAATTAGGATGCTGACTGTTCTTCAGGATGTAAAGGAGGGGAACAAGTGTTGGGTTAGAGCTAGCGCTTCTTAAACTTTAATGTGCATTAGAATCACATGAAGATCTTGTTAAATGCAGATTCTGATACAGTAGGTCTGGGGTGGGGCCTGAGATTCCAAGCTCCCAGATGCTACAAGGGACATTTTGTGCGGCAAGGGTTAAAGAACCAGATGCCATCAAGTTAATTCTAACTCACAGCGACCCCATGTGTGTCAGAGTAGAACTGCACTCCATACGGTTTTCAGTGGGTGACTTTTCAGAAGTAGATCACCAGGTCTTTCTTTGGAGGTGCCTCTGGGCAGACTGGAACATCCAATCTTACAGTTAGCAGCCGAGTGTGTTAACCGTTTGCACCACCCAGGGACTCTGCAGCAAGGTTAGGCAAACTTTAAAGGACATTTCAAGCCTGAAAGGCACTGTTCCCTCCATAAACTTGTGAAAGTCTTCCTGCACTACTGGGAACAGGGAGCAGGGTTGAATCTCGCAGTCATGACCTCATAGAAGTAAGCTCTTTGAATTGTGTTCACAAAATGAAACAGTGAATTGCTGAACTGACAGGGTTGAGAACTAAGGTTTGAAAATTCTGAGAGTTTCACACCTACAGCTTCTATCCTCTCTACTGCCTCTGCCTTAATGATGAGCATACTTCCTTCCTTCCCTCCCTCCCAGGATCTGCAGAGATGACCTATACTGTTAGGTGGTCTCATTAGTCCTTTCATCTTCCTTAAACCACAAGGAGTTTCGAGCTTGCTGACATAAGGAGTTTTGAACATCTAAACACACAGCTGCTAGAGGGTCCTGGGACATCGAATTGCAGCTCAGAGACAATTGGTTCACTCCCTATCTTACAGGTGGGGAAACTGAGGCCTAAAGAGGTCAAGCTATCCAACCAAGGCCACACAAGCAGGCAAGAGGATA